TGATATTCCAGTAGCAAACAACACACACTCTTTCCTTGTCATTCCCTAAATGACTGTTATTGTGGTTTCATTATTTCAAGGGCAGTCCAGGCCAGACAAACATACTCCAAGAGGAGATAGACAGAGACAGAGTACAGAGATTTAGCTACCATATGCTAGTAAACTAGATTACATAAATGATCTAGCTAATCTAGATAAGGCAGTATTATCTGCTCACAGAGGGTTCGACAAACACAAAACAACAGAACGCTACCACAAGAGATTCAGATCTGTTCCTCATTTTACAACAATGTTTCCACCTTTTGTACTGTACATTATGTTAAAGTTATATTTTAAGGGATAACGTACAGCCGGCTCAATTAACAAAAAATAACAATATTGTGCAATATTTGCCTTGTCATGCCATTGAATTAAGCTTTCCCAGAATCAGTGATGGGAATAACGGCGTTATAAATAACGCCGTTACTAACGGCATTACTTTTTCCAGTAACGAGTAATCTAATTGATTACTCTTCTCATTTAAATAACGCCGTTACCGTTACTGCCAAAAAATGTGGCGCGTTACTATAACTGATGAAGCTGTTTTTTTTTTCATCAGACCAACTAGATCTCTGAGCGAGAGGCAAATACTTTTTTTACTGTTCTTCCTTGGTTAGTGGGCAGAGCACGAGACAAGCGCATAAATGCTGACGATTGGCTGAGGTAGAGTAAAATGTCATCGTAAGCCAATCAGAGGTAGAGTTGGGCGGGTGTTCGAAAGCACGCATAGTAGTGATGGGCATTCGGCTCTTTTGACTTAGCTCACTGAAAAGAGCCGGCTCTTTTGGCTCACAAACGGCTCTTTAAATGACTTTGACTATAATATTTAAATTTTTATTACATAATTATTTAATTTCTATAGGCTAAATTTGTAAAAATAGTGTCGGCTCTTCAGATATGCGAGCCAGCTCCCGACGTTCACCTAAAAGAGCCGGGTCTTAGAGTCGGCTCATTCGCGAATCACGAACGACCCATCAAAAGCTCATTCGCGAACGAGTTGATCCATCATCACTAACGCTCATTCGCGAACGAGTCGATCCATCATCACTAACGCTCATTCGCGAACGACCCATCATCACTAACGGCTAACGCTCATGAATTGTGAATCATAACGCATAGTCGGACAGGACAGGACACACAAGGAACAACACAAGCCAGTCAGTCAACGAGAGACAGGTATGGCGACGATCTTAACAAGCTTAATTTAATTTTGCCCAGTTGTGGCCTGTTGAGGGGCAATAAATATCAAAAGTTCCAAAACATCTATTGTGTTATTTGCATTGATCCACTATATAAACATAATATCTACATACATGGCATTTGATTGGAGGCTAGTCTCACTTTGTCCCACAGCAACATTTTTTTTTTTTTTTGATGTGTGTACAATGTTTCATGTTTCTGTTAATAATGTATTGTATAAGTGTCCATTTCATTATAATATTCAGATTTATCATAAATAATTGAACATGCACATGTATTTTAAGTTCCGTTAAAGAGGGGTAGATGTGGGGTAACATTTGAGCATTTAAAATTTAATTTTACTTGAAAGTAACGCAATAGTTACTTTCTCAAGTAACTAGTTACTTTTAAAATTTGTAACTGGGTAACTAATTTAGTTACTTTCTGGAAGAAGTAACTAGTAACTGTAACTAATTACTTTTTAAAAGTAACTTGCCCAACACTGCCCAGAATTATGTAATAAATAGGTGAACAGACCTTAAATGTGAAGAATGTCGTTTTTGCGACACTAATGGCACCTATCGGAAGTGCGAAAATTAAGCATATTTCAAACAACCTTACAAACGCCATTTTGAGCGTCTCGCCTCCCCCAACTCAATCGCAAACATGGGTGCTTGTAAAGGCATGTCTCAAAAGGTAAAAATAGGATACTTTCAATGAAATGTCAACATATTAGGAATACTTTTAGCTGTGTTGCTATGTGTCATAAGTGAGAAACTAACTAGTCTAAAACTCTGTGTAGAGCAAACGAGAGTTATAAACCCATCAAATATATCTGCAATAGGAGGATTTTTTTAGGCTTTAAAAATATTTGAGGCTTTTTACACTGGACACATCAAAGTAAACATTATAACATTGGTACATTTGTCTTTCTGAACCAGTGCATGGTGATGCTGTATGGCAGTAGTTCTCAACCCTGGTTCTGGTCCCTGGTCCCAATCTATAAAGAGTAAAATGAACACTGAAGCAATGTTGCAGTTAGTGAAATACAGTAGATTCACTTTTCAAGTGACGATTGACCATTAGTGATGACACCTGTGGTTAACAAGCAGAATCACTAAAGATAACAGCAACAACAAGAACTGAAAAAGATAAGAGACAAGCAGAAACACAACTACAACGACTCACAGCCACACAGCCTCAGATAAAAACAATAATATCTCACTAGAGGATGCTTAAACAACTCCACAAAGAGCATTGCCATTTTAACTATTACAAACCAGTTTGGCTTAATTTATTTGATATGGTACATGTACAAAAGTGCTTGACGTCTGTTTGAAGTCATCATTATGGTGATTAGTGTTCTCTTTAGTGGCACTTGGTCCTTGACATTGGTTAAATGAATTCGTTCGGCAATTGTTGAAAGTGCATGCTTTTTGTCACAGTTATCTGGACTCATTCATCTTTAGTTTCACTTTCATGGACTCTCATGCTGCGTCTCAATTTTTAACACTTTTAACTCGTGTTTGTAGTCCCTCCTCCAAAATGCAATGGGTTGTGGGCAATATTAGCCGTTATAGTGTGCACGGATCCACACTTCAAAAATCCACTGGAAATAGTAGATCATCCGGGGACTTCCTCACCTTTACTCTGTGTTTGTCTGTTGTTGTGTGTGTGTGTGTGTGTGTGTGACAAATGGGAGTTCATAAATAAACAGGAAAGTTTATTATCAAGTTAAAATTACCACAAATTTTATTATCAAGTAGTTATTAACTGTATAAGAAAGAGCTCTTCGCATAATCCCTGTTATTGACCAAACTATGACCAGACCATAACCAAACTGCTTATGATTATGGTTTATTTGGCTTTCTTCTTTGTTTTGTTATCTTTAAAAAAAAAAATTGTTTTGCAATGTACACAAGCTCTTTTAACTGATTTGTGTACGGATCCTTTGAAACAAGAGACAAATACGTTGATCCTTTGAAACGTTGTACCAATTTAAATGTGTTCTTTGTTATTCTAAACTGCAGATGACCGTGATTAATATAATCATGTTTAAAACTATTAAAATTTTCAGTTCTACTTTTAAAAGAGGTAGCAAAATAAATTACAAAGTTATTATATATTACAATAAATCATGTTTTAATGTGTAAAATATTGAAATGTGCAAGCTAAAACAATGTCTGTCCCCAAAATATTGCTTGCATACTCAAACTCAACCCCGCAAAACCATGCTGGTGAACCAGCTTTACCAACTCCATTTCCCTTGAGAACAGCGTGGCTATGCTGGTAGACCAGCACTATCCAGCACCAACCAGCATAAACCAGCCTGGACCAGCATTTAATTCATGCTGGTTTAGTCTGAATTTTTCAGCAGGGCAGAGTTGAAAACCACCGCTGTATGGTTTTGAAGCATCCATTTTAGAGCGTTGCATCACAATGGCCCATGTTAATGACCGGTTTAATCTTTGAAGGTCTTTAGACCGTAACATGGAAAAGACACCTTTGCATTTATGCAGCAAATTTTGGCTTGAACTTCTGTTACCGAAGCTGAATGTCTTTTTCCATGTTACGCGTCAGCCATGGTCCCACACCAGCTAAACACCCTCTGGCTCCGCCTGCTACAGTAGCCACACCCCCAAACTCACTCTATAGGTTGAGCTGGAAAGAGATTGATGTATCTGAGCGGATCACTCTCAATGTTTGGTTGGTGCCTGGGGGGTCAGTGTTTACCCTTTTGGGGGAGATAAACCTGTGAATGGCACACTAACTTCCACAATGAAGACTGGATATCTGGAAGATAGGCTGGAATTATGGAAATTTGTTACATGTTTGTCCAGCAAGTAAGACTGGAATTACTGACGAGTGACAACTAGTTTCAGGCAGTTCAGATTTGGTTCTTTATTTTGGGGGAAAAACAACAACCGATTAACAATAACTCCATTTATTGTGGACTTTGATCTTTGAAACTTTGCAGACGTTTTACATTCACAAACAGCTACCGCTATAACACACTACATGAAAGGTAATATCTAAAAAAAAGCACAATAGGGGCACTTTCACAATATGATCATGTGAGCTAGTTTCAAATTCCATAGTTCCCTCATACTGCTCCTATAACTTACAGATAATTACATGAACTCTTACGGTATGGGTCAAACTGTTTATTAGAAAATGAAAAGAAATAGAGACATTAGTACTTTTTCAATCATAATTCTATTATCAAAACTGAAAGGTTTTCAGGTTCTGGCCTACTTTTTACTGCCAAAAAAAAAAAAAAGAGGTGAAAACCAGCTTTTGATCATTTCTGGGATCCTTGTGGTCTTTGTCGATGTGTATGTGTGCGGTATTCTGGGATGTCTCTGCGATGTCTTTGAAGTATCTCTCATTGCTGTAGCTCTGAGGGAGAAATCCAGCTACATGAAACTTTTGCTTTCAATCTCTGAACTGAGTTGACGCTGTTTTTTTAAGCTACTGAGACGCCGTTCCATGATACATATTTCATGACGTCTGTCTCTGCATGTAAGTGCAGTTTTTGAACACACTGCTCTATAGAGTCTCTTGGATTGTCTAATTTAATTACTGCATGATTAGTGATATGATGGTACTGTATGATGAAGAACAGTAATATAATATTATTAATAAAGAATGAGTAGCTGTTCCAACTTTTGGAAATCAAAGATACCGTCACATTATTATAGTAGGCTACTACATTAGTATTTTTTGTAATGGTGTCTCTCTCTCTTCTCTCTTTCTCTTTCTCTCTCTCGCTCTCTGTTTAGGTGGGTGCGGGAGTTCCTGAATGAGGAGAATAAGGGTTTGGATGTGTTGGTGGAGTATCTTTCGTTTGCACAGTATGCTGTCACGTAAGTCACCCGTGATTGTACCGAACATGAACACAATGAGCACAATGGCTCCTTTCACTCAGTCCGCTTCTGTGTCTGACTGCATGCCTTACTGCTGCTCTGAGTGGACCGGTGTGTGTGTGTGTGTGTTAGAGAGTGTGTGCAGCCTGTTCACTAAGATCAGATCAAGTCACAAGATCCCATTTACAAACAAATAGCTCTTTACAACCTGATAAGAAATTTTGTTTTAGTGTTTTGGGGAAGACAAAATAAACTTTTATCAATACAAGACACTAGAAACACTTTTTTTTTTGTATTTGGTGTCTCGTGCTCACCAAGGCTACATTGATATGATCAAAAAATACAGTAAACACAGTAATATTGCGATATTTTACCATTTAAAATAACTGTTTCTATTTGAATATATTTTAAAATGCTAAATTATTCCTGTAATGACAAAGCTGAATTTACAGCATCATTACTCTTCAGTGTCACATGATCATTCAGAAGTCATTCTATGCTGATTTGCTGCTCAAAAATTGCTATTATTATCAATGTTGAAAACAGTTGAGCTTATATATTTTTGTTGAAACCATGATACATTTGTGATACATTATTTGATGAGTAGAATGTTCAAAAGAACGAAAATAACATTTATAGATTTTTATTTGTAACATTGTAAGAAATATTTAAATGATTTTTATCAATTTAATGCATCCTTAATGAATTACGGTATTCATTTCTTTCAAATAATAATAATAATAATAAAATGATCAAATACATAGATTTTCTAAATGTTTTCATGCTAAAATGTATGCACATGTATACACACAACATACAGTGTCCACTGATGTTAAATTAGATTTGTTTCTCACGTTAAAAATTAGCCATTAACGTCTAATAACGCAAGTATTTTTATTATATACATTTCATGTTTCTAGTATATTTTCTGAAACTAAGTATTAATGCAGCACATACTCTTTCTTAAAGGAGTAGTTCACTTTAAAATGAAACATGATTTACTCACCCTCAAGCCATCCTAGGTGGAACCATCAGTTTGAAGTGGATCTATCCATCATAAAAGTGCATCTATCCATCATAAAAGTGCATCTATCCATCATAAAAGTGCTCCACACGGCTCTGGGGGGTTAATAAAGGCCTTCTGAAGCCAAGCGAAGAGTTTGTGTAAGAAAAAGATTCATATTTAACACGTTAGAAAGTAAAATTCTAGCTTCCAGCCAAACGGCCATACGCAGTCTACTTACGCCTAAAGCGCAACTCACGCAACTTATGACGTCAGAAGTAGTGTAGTGCGACATGGCGTAGAGGGAATATCAGCAGTACGTCACATTACTCGCATAAGTTGAGCTTTAAGTCGAATCCGTATGTCCGTTTGGACGGAAGCTAGTTATTTTACTTTATAAAGTTTTAAATATGAATATTTTTCTTACACAAACTCATCACTTTGCTTCAGAAGGTTTGTATTACCCCCCCCAGAGCCTTGTTGAGTTCTTATGATTTTAGATAAACAAAGTATAATGGATGGTGCACTTTTTTTGAGCTTCAAACTGATGGTTGCAATGCCCTGCCATTATAAAGCTTGGAAGCGTCAGGGTGTTTATTAACAACTCCGATTGTATTCGTCTGAAAGAAGAAAGTCATATACACCTATGATGGCTTGAGGGTGAGTAAATCATGGGGGAATTTTCATGTTAAAGTGAACTGCTCCTTTAAGTACATTTATTTTGTTATTTAAAAAAGAAAATAGAATTAACATTTTTGCTGTGCGCATATGAGCAGAAGTCCCATGGCCACAGATAAATAAAGTAAATAGGATATATGGGGATTCTCTTTTTGGGTTACTCTTATTCTGAGGATCTGTTGTTCTATATTTCACAGGTATGATGGTGACAGTTCTGAGAACAGCACAGATAACTCGGTGGATAAATCTAAAGCCTGGAGTCGATCGATTGAAGATCTGCATGGAGGGAACAGCCTCTCATCAGCTGTCACAGGCAACAGCATCTCCAGAACCAGCAGACATTCAACGTTAAGGTGTGAACATGCATCGACACAAACATCCAGACCCTGATTTTATCTTATATTTCTAAACTGAACGCGATATGGTGTGTCCAACTGTGATATGGTGTGTACGGACTTCATGTGATTTCTGAAAGGCTCTTTTGTATAGTCATGAGGGCTGTAAGACTTTAAATGGCTTAGGAAACTGTGCACCACGACAGAACACAATCGACGCGTGTCTGTCTGTCTGGCCGCTGACTCACAGCACTGGTTTAGATATTTTTATTCTGATGAGGAATGGGATAACTGACACATCACCATCATATGAGAATTAATAGGAACTTCCCTGTCTGTGATTTGCCAGCCTGATGACGGGACCGACGTATTTACAGTGAGCCTGAGGAGATCTGTTTGAATGGGTTCAATATGCTAAGCTCCCTGTCATTTGAATTGGATTAAGGTCGAACTCTTATGCAGTAGCTAGAGAATTCCCGATTCTAATTCTGGAATTCTGCTCAGTTTTTTTTTTTAATTTTCTCTGGGTCACATGTCAAAAGCTTGCAACTTTTCAGTGCAGTTTCTGCAAGCATATGTACAGTCGATACATGTGTCTTCAACAATGAATAAGACAAAGCAAAGCCTGACCCTGACACCAAAGTCTTAACCTGGAGGACAAAGTTTTAAAAAGAAATAAGGGTACACATTTTTACTGGCCAAATTTGACAATGGTCTTGTACTGCAGTCGCTTAGATTCAGCATTACCGGTTTCCAATGTCATTATGAACACTAGAAATGCTTTTCATGGTGTTGGTCACCCATACTACATTTTGGGTTGCGCCCTTAAGGCCCATTCACAAGGATGATAACTATAACTAAAGTTTTAATAATCTTTCAAATTGTATGAAAATAGGGAAGTCCACACCACAACTATCAAACTCAGAATTATTTTAGTCTCACTGAGATAGTGTTATAGTTTTTATTTCAGGTTTCATTTTTGTTAAAGGTTTAGTAATGCTGTTGTAATTTTTAATGTCTATATAGTTTTTTGTTTTTTTTTTGTTTTTTAGATTTGGTTTGTAAACTAAATGAAAAAGAGAAATGTTTCCTTGGCCATTAACTGAAATAAAGAAATTAAATAAAGAAATTAAATATATATATATATATATATATATATTATTAAGTAGGATTTTTTTTTTGTTTTTAATGGTTTTAGTTTTAAAGGGGTCATATAAGATAAGACATAAGATATTAAATTTCTTACTTTTGAAATATAAGGGGTATTTGTACTATAAAAATATCCGATACGTTTCAGAACTCAAAACTTTCTCATTAGTACAAAAGCAGATTTTATTGAAAACAAGCTGCCAAAATGACTTATTTCGGATTTTGTCACATTTTATTATGTCATATTGCGATGAAAGACTACGGAGCCCCGCAAATGACATGCAGGAAAAAAATAGGTAGGCTAAAATATAGGCTAAATTGTGAGCACGATTTACTAATTCGTTCCTTCGGTTTGCTAAACTGTGCGCACAATTTACTATTCCGTTCCCTCGAATTATAAATCATGCACATGATTTATAAATCGAGGGAACGAATTAGTAAATCATGCAGATGATTTTTTTTTTCTTGCATGGCTTCGTAAAAGACCATCTGTGCAGAAGAAGATCAACACCATCATTGCCTCTTTAGCCCCGCCCACCGATTTGCGCATGTCATTTAGTAGTAAATACGAAACACATGCAAACACAGGATTACTAAAACAACAAACCGATAGAGACGCCTCTGAGGATTACAAGAGGTTTTGAGATGCTAAATTGTGGAAAGACAGTCTTTGAATTGCCTTCCTTATACAACATCCTAACTTCAAGAAAGCGTGAATGAACTTTATTTTAAACGAATTTCCAGCCAGATTGTGTCAGTAAGACACGGTTCGTGCTATTGCTTTGTCTGTTACAGATCGTTTGATATGTACTCACTTTACTTTCACTTTACTGTAAATGATGAACGATGAATATAGGAACGATGGTCACAAACAAACAATGGTCATTATATTTATTCATAATTCGTTTACACAAAACACCATAAGTTATCTTGTCAACTATAACTGTGTTTACTCCAAGTACTTCCAAGTACTTCAACTTTATTTACCACAAGAAAGGCTAGCCAGCATATAAAATATGCATACATGTTTCACATTTGGCAAATGTTTCAACTATGTACCGAGATAAACACCTTTTTGTAGCGTCTTTGTTTCAACACTAATATAATGTAATACAATTGATAGCACAAGTCCATCTCGGGGATGTCTATTTGGTGTCTGCAAGATGCATTTTTTAGAGTGTTTGCTCATCTGCAATACATCTCTACGACGATTCCTGTTAGATGTCATATAGACATTTAAAAGATGACTTTAAGATGATTAAGATTTAGAATGCATAACTGCTTTTTCTAAGACGTTTATCAGATGTTTTTACACAGCAGATGATTTCCAGATGACCAGATCTTTAGCAGACATCTTACAGACTGTGCTATACACATGAGGAATACATATAAATAAAGATTACCACTCTTTTGCAGACTGGAGTATTGGTATTTGAGGTATAGGTTCAGTGTCTTCTGATTCAGGATCAGGCTCAATAATGTATGGCTGAATTTCACTAGTTCACATTTTTCAAGTTTTCAAAACAATTCCACAGGTATATTGGCGGAGATGTTGAAATGTGTTTTAATATTCAATATTTATACCCAATCATAGCGGCCGTTTACTTCCAAGTCTTGGATGTGGCACTCCCATCGAAATATAGTGGGGGTTTTTTTTTAAACAGAGGGTCAAAAACAGGATAGAAAATATCAAAATGTTGATATTTTCATGTGAAAATCTTGCTAACATTATAAGTTGACCACAGAGAACATTATAAAACTTTGTAAAAAAAAAAAACTTCTAACTATCATAACTTATATTATATTTTTTTTCCCAGCTGATGAACTATATCAGAATCCATCAGACTTTAAAGAACAGCAGACGTTCTAGCTGTATATAGCTTATTAAACAGAACATTATTAGTTATCGATTTATAGTTATTGTTATAGTTATCTTTCTTGGTGTGAACGGGCCATTATGAAGAATTAAACGTTCTGTAGGTGCATTTCTTTAGGTGTATATACATTCTGTGTTCTTGCTGGAACGATGAACTGTTTTACAGGTTTTGTGAAATGAATGTGTGTAATTAATGCAGTTGTCACTCTGTCTGCAGTTTGCTGTTGTGCGTTCCCATCTGCGACACAAGGCACGTGTTTTCCGTCCTTCAGACAGCCTCCTTTCCTCTCCCCTTTATGTTTTTCAATGTGCTGTATTATGGAGCTTAGATTAGCAGAATGAGCTCAGTTGCTAAGTAACTAGCTGTACCTGTCAAGCATAATCTCTGATTTCACCTGTTATTTGATGCTGTTTATTCAGATCATGCGGCTCTGCAATTGATTTATTAATCATTTTTTCACCACTGTAATCTCTGCAGCCAGTGGTGTCAATTTGTGATCCATAGTTCAGAGTTTCTGCCCACATGTAGTAGTTTTGTTCCCACGTTGTCCTTCTGCTTCTAGTATTTTTGTAGGGTTAAATCATGTGCTGTATTTAATTTGACCAAAGAATAATTCTCAAATTTCCCATGCCCTCCTGAAGAACAAAGACTCTTCCACAATGTCCAAAGTGCTCACAGAAACAAGGGTACGTCTGCTGCATTTACTCAAAGTTCTAGATTTTTATAGAATTCTGTAGACATGAAACAATAGTATTGCGCTAGATTGAGTGTGATACCTACTGTTTATTATATAACTTCAGCGTAACACTTTCTATGAAGCCTGTATTTATAATCCACTACCAGGGTATTCTTAAAGCATTATAATGTAAACATAATGCCAAAAAAAATTATAATATTATGTTGTATCCTATCTTGAATGATTGTAAGAACAGTTAATAATACATAATACTAGTGGTTGTTATAACTTTCATAGCACAAAGAACACCATGTAACTGTATATCCACTTAAATTATAGCAGATTATATTTCCAATAATCAGTTATAATCAAGTTGTAATTTGTTAACATTAGTTAATGCACTGTGAACTAACATGGACAAACAATGAACAACTGTATTTTTATTAACTAACATGAACAAAGAGTAATACATACTGTAAAAAAAATATCGCTCATTGTTAGTTTATGTTAGTTAATCCATTAACAAATGAAACCTTATTGTAAAGTGTTACCCATATTTGTAGTAATATCTCATAATTTGGCAGCAGGATTATTAGGCTGCTGTCACTTTAAGACCTGACGCATGGATCCATTATACTGTTACACATGCGCTTTCTTTCTCAACTGTTTACGTTCAGTTAAAACATAACTGACTGTTTACGTGAATACTCACCAAGACCGGCATTATTGTGTGTGTATTTGACTGTTTCAGCGCAATAAGCAGCGGAATTTAGTACTGAGATGTCCCACACTTTGGGTGTGGGCACAAAATCTGTAGGAATGAGTAAAATTATGTTTAATATTCCTCACCGAAATTCAAGCCCTGAAACACCAACAATATTCATCCGGAGCAAGTGAAACGAGTGAGTGAGGAGAGGCGGGTTTGTGTGTCACTCGCTGTCGGAGAGATGAGAGAGAGAGAGAGAGAGAGAGAGAGAGAGAGAGATGAGAGAGAGCAGCTGGTATCATGTATCTATTTTATGGAAAATGAGTACTGGAAGCATTTCAGATATTTGTATAGATTCAATTCAATTCAAATTTATTTGTATAGCGCTTTTCACAATACATATTGTTTCAAAGCAGCTTTACAGAAAGTGCATTTCAGATATGTATGGAAAAATCTATATTTTTGACAACACAACATTGCACTTAGTTTATTATTGCAGATGCCTTTTTTATGTAGCTCTGCTGTGATATCTATTGTCAAGATATGAGACACAATATAACTGAACACAAATATTCAGTAAATCGTTAATTAAGTCCTTTAATAGAAGCAC